AATCACATTTCAAATCACGTTACCAGTTTATGTATGCAAAGCGTTATAACATTAATGTGGGATGATAGTAATACGCATTATTTGTGTATGTTACTCATATCTAGATTAAACAGCCTACCCTAAGGTACATTTTACAAATACTAGAATTTATTTGCACATTTAAAAACGGCAAGTCTCCGGGTGAGGTTGGAATTACAGCGGAGCTTTTGAAAGCGGGTAGAAAACCGGTACTTGAAGTCCTTCAGAAGCTCTTTAATTCCGTCCTCCATGTTGGCAATACACCGGAGGCGTGGACCAGAAGTGCGGTGGTCTTGTTCTTCAAGAAAGGTGGCAACGCTCTCTTGAAGAGCAACAAACCGATTTCCCTTCTAAGCCGCGTCTACGTGCTGTTTTCGAGAGTCTTTACGAATCGTCTCGCGCGCAGATTTGATGACTTCCAGCCTCCTGAAAAAGCCGGTTTCTGAAAGGGCTTTAGCATCGTAGACCACATACATACTCTTCGGCAAACTGTACAGAAGACAAAACAGTACAATCTGATATTTGCCTTGCGTATGTGGACTATGAGAAAGCCTTTGATTCCGTCGAAATTTGGGCGGTGCTGCAGTCCATTCAGCGGTGCCAAGTTGACTGTCGATATATCGAAATGCTGAAGTGTTTGTACAGTAGAGCTACGATGACTATCCGAGTACAGAACCAGAGTTCGAAACCTATCCAACTGCAGAGAAACTTTTGACCGCTGCATTGGAAGACATTTTCAAGCTACTGCTTTGGAAAGGATGCAGTATTAACATCAATGGCGAGTACATCACTCAACTTCGATTTCCCGACGATAAAGTCCTTATGGCAGAATCGCTGTAAGACTTAATCACTATGCTCAATGACCTCAATAGTGTCTCCCAACGGATAGGTCTTAAGATGAACATGGACATAACAAAAATCATGTTTAACGTCCATGTCACACCTATGCCGGTAGTTGTTGGGAGCACTAAGCTCAAAGTTGTTGAAAGTATGTTTACCTGGGACAAATAATCCGACTAGGTAAGTCTAACTTCGACCGAGAGGTCAATCGACGGATTCAACTCGGCTGTGCAGCGTTCGGGAAATTACGACACATCTTTCCGATAGACATACCTCAAAACCTGAAAATGAAATTGTGTACAACCAATGCGTGTTGCCAGTGATGACTTACATACGGATCTGAGACGTGGCCTTTCTCTGCTGGCCGTATGGGGAAGCTCAAGGTTGCTCAGCGAGCTATGGGGAGGGCTATGGTAGGGGTTTCTCTGCGTAATAAACTTAGAAATGAGGATGTCCGCAGTGGAACCAGAGTAACCGATATAGCCCAACAGATTAGTAAGCTGAAGTGGCATTGGGCCGGCCATATAGCTCAAAGAACCGACAACCGATGGGAAAAGGTTCTCGAGTGGCAGCGTCGAACCGGTAGGAGAAGTGTAGGGCGACTCTCCACTAGATGGAGTGACGACCTAGTGAGACATGCAGGAAGTCGATGGATGCAGGTGGCTCAGGACCGTGCTTTGTTGCATTCCTTGGGGGAGGCCTATGTTCAGCAGTGGACTTGTGAAGGGGTGTAATGATGAATAATTAGTATTGTAGTATATTAGTAGCTAAAAAAACCAAGCTACTAATTGCTTGGGTTTTTTAGTAGTATGTACAGAATATACTTAAATAACTTTTTATTTACATTTATTTTCTAGCTACACAAATTAAATATTATGTATGAATAACTATTAGATTTATTATTTTGAGTTGTTATAAGGAACATTCTGATGCTCGTCTCCCGTTTAATTACCCTCTATCGACTCTTACGAGTACCGCCTGATAAACATAGTGTAGTTGTTTCTCTTACGACGTCACTACCGTCCGAAATTGTGGTTGCTTTCCCGCCAGGTTATGACTGTTGTAATGGGTAAACGACTTCGGAATAATGGACCTAATATTTCTGCATTTTATGTTAGTTGCTTCGGGTTCTACAATAACGGCTCCGTTTCATGATTAAATAATCATAATATGTTGTTACTCCAATCCAGATTGAACCGCCACCGAATATACCTAATTAACGACCACGGGTGCTACATTTGATTTTTGCGCAGATTAGACCCATAGATTCGGTTTTGGCGATGAACTTCGACGTAACATAGATGAAATGTCTTGATGTATCGCTTCCAAATGTTCTTTTGGTATATTGTCTTAAAATAAACAGTCCCCGACACTGCAGATAATTTCCTCGTATGGTAATTGTTATGGTGGTATAGCAAAATTAAGGCCCTTCGATAATACTTTAATTGCTGCACCATCCAAGAGTTTGTTTTGACAGATTATAGACCGCATTTAATCTATGATCCGCGTTTGTAGTCGACGGTTGCGTTTCATTCTCACGTTGACACAGTTGACACGTTTGACATTTCATTTGGTCGTTAATTTTTGATATTTTAGTATATGTTTGTTTTTGCATTCGTTATATTTATTGATTTCTCATTTATTTAACGTTCCAATGCAAACATTATAATCAAATGTCGTTAAAACTGCCTTTAACTCACTGAATGGTGTGTCTATGGATTTGTTTATGTCACGTAGATCGGAGCGTTTTTGTTGGATTACCGTTCGTTACAACTTTTTACTTGCCTGATTTAAGATCTTAGCGCTTCCTCGAATGTCCTTTTTAGTGGATATTTTGACACACGTAGGAATGAGATTATGGTCTCTGCACCTCTTCAAGAAATTTAAGGTTGTTAGATATTTTGCGCGCTTGGTCATGAGTTCTTCTAATCGGCGAATTTTTTTTTTGCAATTACCAGTCCATACTGCTTTATATAATGATATCTTATATTTACGCGAACACTACACATTTAAATAAAACAAATTTTACGGATTTTATCGCGTATATTAACTTATTTTATATTCCCGACGTTTCAAGCACTTTACAGCACTCATGGTCACGGGGGGGGGGGGACTGAGATGAATGACGTGCCAATGTCATTGTTAACCACGACTACCTCCAGATTAAAAATTATTAATTTTTGTTCCGATCTACGCAGTATGAACTTACAGTTTCTTAAAGTCTTACAGTTGTATACTTGGGTAAGGATTTAATTTTATTAATTATGGGATCTCAAGCAGATGGTAGCTTTCAGCTATCTTCTCTATTGAAATTAGGATGTTTTTTTTTATTTCAATAGCCTCGGGAATTATCCTTGGAAGGAATCAACTGCAGCCCGTTTGCAGCTACTGCATCTGCAGTACCTGACTTAGGTGCTCTGAAGAGGATGCTGCTGGAGCAGCCCGCCGACAGGAGGAACAGGCCTGTCCATTGGAAGAGCAGCTGAAGCGCGGTAGGGAAGAGCAGATGCTCCTATCGAAGGACCTTCACGTTACTTTCGGGAAAGAGAAAAGGTAGGTGAAGGATAGAGTTGCTCAACGTGACAACCACCTGTCGGAAGCTAAAACCCGAATCGACCATGTGAACAATCGGGTTGACATCGTAATGTCTGACGTGAAGAGAACTCTGGACGACCTCAAATTTCGACGTTCGACGGGACTTCTTCCTGGTCAACCTACAAAATCCAGTTCGAGGCTGCCATGAAGGCGAATGGCTGGAATAAATGTCAGGCCATGACTGCTCCCACCCTAGGCCTGACCAGGTCTAAACTGTTCTGGAAGCTCTCGGTAAGGAAGTGACTTACGAGCAGCTCCTTTAGGCACTGGAGGCGAGATATGGCATCGCCTTTTGTTCGCAGCTCAAAGATCGCGTGCAACGCAGTAACTAAAACCTACAGCAGTGGTTCCTTGAGGTAGAGAAGCTGGTACGAAAAGCACACCAGTTTTTACCTGCGTTCATTGAAGGGAACATGACTTTCATCGACGGCATCCGCACCCTATATCAGAGCTGCTGTGAGGCTCGAGCATCACGAGAAACTAGGATGCCTTGGTCCATGTACTGGATGTGGAAACCGTGCGGCAGGATCATCGTTCCCAACGCGTTAGAAAGGTTTCAGGAGCTGCAATTCGCGACCGCAATAAAGAATGCAGCCGTAGGTGCTACGGCTGTGGGGAAAGGGGCCATCTTTTATCCAGCTGCCCTAAGTGAACTATAGAAAGGGAAGTTGTTCGATCTCGAGAGGGCAGTGTGGCTAACAGCACCGCCCAGTGCAGCGGGAAATCTCATGGCAACGCAGACGCATTGTAAAGAAGACCTTGTCCTGAATATTGCAATCATTGTACAAGAGGGTAAGGATGTGGTATATGTGAGGATGCTCAGAACAGACCATTTCAGCAAGGAGTGAAAGGACAGCCTACAACATGCGCAGCAGGAAGATTTGGACATCAAGCCGATTCTAGAATGGATGAAGGCCGGTACTCCTAAGCCCAAGTGGAGTTACATCTTAGCGATGATTATGACCACGAAAAGCTATTGGGCCCAAATGGGACAGCTTACTGATTTAAGATGGAGTCCTGCGCCGTAAATGGGAAAATGGTCGGGGAGACAGCTGTCATTTGTAAATGGTTATCTCTAAAGATAAAGTACCGGATGTTCTAAAGCTGTACCATAATGGTTGTTCATAAGGCCATCTGGGAGTTAAACGAATTCTACTGAAGATCCGAGAACAGTTTTACTGGGTCGACTGTCGTGACGATGTGGAGGACTGGTGTCGCAAATATACAAATTGTACGGCTGTAAAATAACCTCAGACTCGTAGTAGAGGTGCATTGAAATTGTACAATGTTGGTGCACCGTGGGAGAGGATAGCCTTGACGTTGCCGGGCCGTTTCCGGAAAGTGAAATTGCTAACAAGTATTTTAAGGTTGTGATGGATTACTTGACTAAGTGGCCTGAAGTCTTCGCCATTCCAAATCAAGAAGGTTCAACAGCTGCAAATAAACTAGTTAATTAAGTCTTCTGTCATTTTGGAGTACCTTTAGAGATTCAAAGCGATCAAGGATGAAATTTTGAGCCTTAAGTACTCCAGGAAACTTGGCGAGTTATGAGTACTTACAAATCGAGAACAACTTCTTACTACCCACAATCTGATGGAATGGAAGAACGATTTAACCAGACAAAGGAGAGGTACCTCGCAAAAGTTGTGGAAAATTGCCGTGGAGACTGGGACAAGCACATACAACCGTTTATGTTGTCATATCAAAGCGCTGTTCACGAAAGTACATCAGTGAAACCAGCTTTCGCAAACTTTAGGAGAGCATCACAGCTGCCTGCAAACCTGATGCCCCACGCAGTACAACCGATTATGCAAATGACTTGCGGAACAAAATTAATGACATTTATCAGCACGTCAGACATTTGGGCCAACAAATGTCTAAAAGATGAAAAGACGGTATGACTGCAAAATAAACCACAAAGGGTTCGACAATGGTTTACTAGTGTGGTTACACAATCCAATTCACAGTAAAGGGAAATCTCCTTAGCTTAAAGCTAAATGGGATGGACCGTACCGTATTCTAACAACGATCAATGACGTAATCTACCGGATACAGAAAGGTGCAAGAGGTACTCCTAAGATCGTCCATGTGGATCAACTGATGCGTTATTATGGGGCCAATAATGCTTGGTACGAGCATATCTTAAGAGAGGGCAGTGTTGTGCGCCACAATTAATGCATGGTACATGGCGACACTAGTTACCACTAGCGCTTTATAGTATTGAGTAGCAAAACTAGAAGAGTCAAGTTTCTTCTAGAAATTTCCATGGAAGAACTTTCGACACGTAACTACCTGTCGATAGTTCCATACATACCCGACTAGTTAGTCGGGACCGGTATGCACTCATACATTCTAGATGTTTCTACAGTAAAAGGTTCAGGAAATCATCTGAGGCCCTATATAAGACTGGTATAGACCGCGACACAGTCAGTATTGAATTGGCGATACAAGTGAATACTTCGAAGCGAGTTAGTGTGGTTTTAAGTAGTAATTAGTGTTCTGTAATTAAAGTGTCATTTTTGGTAATTCACACGGCAGTTTTCAATTGTCTCGAACCCCAAGCTCGTAACAATACTTACGTGAGCGGCGGCATCACCGGACATTTAATGCGTTTCACAACTGTGAGGTCTTAAAACTGTGATATAATGTTGCTCTACTACTACTGTTCTAATATAGTTTTTAGTAATTTTGTATTAGGTTTCTGGGCCGTGTCTTTCAAACACAATTTTACGAACAATGCTATGCTATAGGTGAAATCTAAGTGTGGCTGTATTATTATTTTTAACAGCATAGAACAGCTCAACTAGCTGTCTTGTTAATAACAAAATCATATAAGTAATGAAACTGTTATTATACATTTCTCTTCTTCAATTGCAAAGTGTGTTATAATGTGTTCGTAATTACTAATTCATGTGCATCTTTTTAACAACAAGAACATTGTGACAGAACTGTGTAGTTAATTTAAATATTATACAGTATTCAAATATGAAATTCAAAATTTGAAAACACAGCTGAACGAAAATAATCTAATCTCAACTATTTTGGATTGTGCAGTCATTTTGGTTGTGCAGTCATATTTGCGTTCGTTGAGATTCTGTAGCATTTCTTTGAGAAAAGGGGCGTTTTATGCTTGTAAGTTGGACCTTATTTCGTATTTTACATACTAAATTAATTGTAAATTTAAATAATTTATAAAGAAATTGAAATACCTATTGTAAAATGTTTAATATTTTTTAATAACCAAATATAATGCTCATTTAATTATCTTGCAGGCTACTTTGAAAGTTATTTTGTCAATTAATAAATTAATTTCTAATTTCTGAAACTAGTTCATAAGTAAGTTTTTTCGTTTCGGGTGCTTTATGTCAATGTGCTCTTAGAACCTACTGTGACGAGGGCGATCCAGGTGTTTGACGTACTGATGTCATGGTTAACCCGGGCTACATTCAGCTTTTGAATATTAATATTTGTATGATCTACGCAAGACGAGCTTTCAGTATCAGGAAGTTTTGCAGTGGTATGCTTGGGTTTGGATTTAATTTAAATAATTATCCGGTTCTCAAACGGAGGCAGCACCGAGCCATCTTCTCTATTGAATATTATATGTTTTGAAAACAAGATTAGGTATATCTATATATATATATATATATATATATATATATATATATATATATATATATATATATATATACACATAGATATGTATTTGTATATATATATATATCTTTATATATAAAAATTACGTGTCACGTTGTTTGTCCGCGATGGAGTACTAAACTACTGAACTGATTTCAATGAAATTTTGCACACTGTGTGCATTTTGGTCCAACTTGAGAGATAGGATAGTTTTTATCCCGATAAATGGCCCTCGATTTTTTTATTACTCTTTTAAGGATTTTTAATAGAACAGAAGGTCGTTGGTATGGGCAGAACAACGTCTGCCTGGTCAGCTAGTATAGGGCCCCATTAAAGTTTCGCGTCAATAGCAACTAAAAGAAAAACAGTGGTATCCATAAGACTCAACTCCTCCCCATTTAAGAGCACATTGGTTTTCGAATGTTTTACATTAGGTATTGTAAATTTAATACATTTTGTCTTATTGCCGTTTAAGAGCATTTTGTTGGCGTTAAATCAATGTACTAATTTTGATAGAGTATTATTTACATCGTCATAATTAATTGACTGCCGTTTGAGTTTGAAAATTAAAGAGGTATCGTCAGCAAATAATACTATATCGTGATTGTCCCCTACGAGATAAGGTAAGTCATTAATATAGATTAAGAACAGGAATGGGCCAAGAATCGAGCCCTGAAGAACGCCCATTGATACTACCGATCCGGAAGAACCTTTATAATTACTCACGACTTTTTGAGTTCTGTTACTTAAATATTTAGTAATAATTCTAAGCGCCAAATTTTTTACACCGTAATGTTGTAGTTTCCTGATTAATGTTTCATGATGAACACAATTAAAAGCCTTGGAAAGATCACAGAAAATACCTAAGGCATCTTATGAATTATTCCAGGCTTTAAAAATATATTTCATAACCTCAACATCGGCGTCTGACTTCGAGCGACCCTTTGTGAAACCAAATTGGTTTTTATGAAGTAATTAATTTGTATAAAAAAATTTAACAATTGATTCAAAATAAGTTTTTCAAAAAAATTTTTGAGAGTTGGTAGTACAAAAAAAGGATGTAAAATTAGCAGGGTACTATGTACTACCAGATTTAAATAAAGTTATTTCTTTACAATATTTCATTAAATCAGGAAACACACCAGAATTGATACAAGTATTAAAAAATAATAGCAAGATGAGGTATAAAATACGTGTCACGTTGTTTGTCCGCGATGGGCTACTAAACTACTGAACTAATTTCTATATTATATATATATATATTATGGACGCAATAACTGTAACGGAAATCCCCCACATATCTGCGGTTTTCTGTACATTAGGTTTTGAAGTGTATTACAATATTTTGCGGTAATACTTTTTTTGAGTATATTGTAGACTGGGGTTTCATTTTGTATCAAATCGAGAGGAAGTTTAAACGCGGAGTGTGTAATTTTACCTCCTATACACAAGCATTGTTTGTTCCACCAGAAGCATCCAAAAAAAGATATTACCTGCGTCAATACTGGAATGTGTTTTATATTAGATATGTCCTTGTTTATTATTTAGAGAGCCTTCTCTACTTGACACCAGTTATGCTAAGAAATTGAGATCGTAACTTGTTTCCTTAAGGTAGTCCCGGTTATTGTGTAAGCTTTCAGACCTTTGAGCCTGAAGCAAGCCGTATTGGTGTGGGCTTTATCTTCTAAATGCTAATACAGATTCTCCTATTGTGACCAGCCATTTACTGTAGATTTCATCTGCTAGATGTTCATCTATAATGCCAGAAAGCCTTTTCATTTGTCGTTTGTAGTCTTCTGGTAGGCTATCCCTGTTGGGTAAAAACCCAAATACTTAGTGGGTCTGTAATCTGACAGAACGCCGGCATTATAGAAAAAAGTTCAGGCATTTTAAATTGCGACTCGCATAAGGCTGCTTAAAAAAATTAAGAGCATACCAAAAACGACACTGTTAGCAGTTTTGATATATACCTAAGTGCCTTCATATTTTGTATGGCAACAAAATAATTTTGTGGGAATGAAAAGAGGAAAACCCGTAGATAGCTGGCCAGGAATAATGAAATAACACGCTCTTGTTAGAGTATACACGGTACACGAATAGCACAATGTTACTATCTTTGCTTAGATCTGAATGAGGTTAGGGGTCCATTATTCTTCGATGACTTGAAGACTGTAATCGGTGTGCTTCAACACTAAATTTTCAATTAGTTTTTATGAAACTTGGCTTGCTACTTTCACCGTCCTGTCTCTCTATCGCATCTTGCTAGTGTATATAACTGTCCGCTCTAAGCTGCACTTAATTGTTCCTTATATAACTCAACCTTTCCGTCTCGATTTTGGCAAACATGTCAACTAAAAACTGGCTAAACAGCGAACAAAAATATAGCAGATGATTACATTCTCCTTTACTAATCACTATATGGTAAGTATAAAAACTTGCACCAGATACCATTTTTTTAAGCGATTGTTTGGTCTTAGGATGACACTGGGGTATAGAAATGGAGTATCCATCCTCCGTAGCAGAACAAAAGTGGGTGCTGAAGTGCATCGTATGAGCGATGGATTTCACTTATTCGATGCAATGTGTTATCATGGCTCTCAATTACAATATCCTGTTTAGAAAATGGCTGTTAACAATAAAAAAGCAACTTCATTTGACGTAGGTTGATTGTACCGTCCACTATGGCCATTTGTAGGCTTTCTTTTAGCATTAATAACAACTTGAAATGTATTTTACGTAGCAGATACTTAAAGGAGATCTGTAAGCTTTTGCAAAGGTTCGAGCTGTATCTTTCCTGAATCGCAGTACATTCTCACAGATTCATCCTTGTACTTGAGAGATTTACACCACTTGCATTCGATGCCTACCGGTCCCAACACAACAGTATTATCACTATCGTATGCTATGTTACTATCATAACTCAGTCCAGAAAAGGCTTTAGAATTCCAAGTTTGAAACGTCTTTCAACTCGCTGTCCTTCATGAATTCGCTCATATCGTAACTGTGATACTCTGTACACTTCTAGATGATGTGCTTATGTAGTTCAGGGTGTTCCTGATGATAATAAACGACAGCCTGCCTGTGAACTTAAGGCTGTTTTTCTGACAATAAACTACATTTTTACGATTTGGAATGATTTTTTTTACTTTATTTTTATTTGCTTTCTTAAGTTCAAATTTTCTGACCATTTTGGTAACCCTAGCCCTGTGTTTCTTCAACTTATTTTTTGTGACTTATTTCTCAAACTAATTTCATTTTTTACTTA